GTGTGAAGGACTTGAAGGAGCTGTGAATTATTACAGTTTTTAACAACATTTTTTTTTTTTTTTTGTCTTTTTTTTCATGTCTGGCAATGGACCGCAACCCTCAGTGTCGCGCCCGTACTGGACCGGGACCGGCAACGGGATCGCAACCCTCAGTGTTGTGCCCGCACCTCGCTCAGCCAGTGAGCGGGAACCGGTCTGTATGTGGGATCCGAACCCTCAGCGGGAGCGCCGCTGCACTTCCCAAGCGGTGCACTGTAGCAGTGCGCCACCGGGCCGGCCCTTAACAACATTTTTGTATAAAAATTTATTTAAGTTCCACTCAATGATATATATATATTTTTTTCCTTTTTGTCTTTTATCGTGACCGGTAACGGGATTGCAACCCTCGGTGTCGCGCCTGTACCGCGACCGGCAACGGGATTGCAACCCTCAGTGTTGCGCCCGCACCGCGCTCAACCAGTGAGCGGACCGGTCTCTATATGGGATCCGAACCCTTGGCGGGAGCGCCGCCACGCTCCCAAGCGCCGCACTCTACATGTGCCACCGGGCCGGCCCACTCAATGATATTTTTATGAAGATTATTTATGCCACACACTTAATCATGTCCTCTCAAAATGTGGTTATGCCACAGTACAGATTTTTTCCCAGGAACCAAGAAAGGCCTGGGTATTTGTGAAGAGGGTGACTGCCCCACATTAGCGGGGTGATTTGAAGGTGACTAGACACACTAGATTTCCAGATCTTTTCCTGTCTGTTTCATGGTAACTTGGTTTGAACTGGAGTCTTCTGACATTGGGTTTCAGTGAAAGTATGTTGCTTGGGAGGAGTAACAGTTACCCCCTTGTATCCAGTGGTAGTGAGAAATGAGAAATCTAAAATTTATTTTAATGTTTATCTGGGGATTGCCGATGTGGAATAGGACAGGCTCATTTTTTTTTGTTGTTCCTTGAGAGAAGAGGAAACAAACTTGGAAGATATATTTCCCTTCTGCAGTTTTGCCCTGTACAGATCACACAAGTGGTCCTACTCTGTAGTCTTAAAGTAGTTAAAGTGTAGTCCTGTGTTTTTTTATTTTTTATTTTTTTAAAGATGACCGGTAAGGGGATCTCAACCTTTGGCTTGGTGTTGTCAGCACCACGCTCAGCCAGTGAGCTAACCTTCCATCCCTATATAGGATCCGAACCCGTGGCTTTGGTGTTATCAGCACCGCACTCTCCCGAGTGAGCCACGGGCCAGCCCTAGTCCTGTGTTTTTGATCATCGAGACTATTTAGACTTTTAATGCAATAGGAGCCCACAGAGAGAAGTGGGGTCCTTGAAGCCACCTGTTTAAACTGAAGTGTTTTGTTTGNGAACCCGTGGCTTTGGTGTTATCAGCACCGCACTCTCCCGAGTGAGCCACGGGCCAGCCCTAGTCCTGTGTTTTTGATCATCGAGACTATTTAGACTTTTAATGCAATAGGAGCCCACAGAGAGAAGTGGGGTCCTTGAAGCCACCTGTTTAAACTGAAGTGTTTTGTTTGGGTATTTCCAAACTGTGTCTTGTTTTGGTAGCAACTGATAAAAGTGTCTCTTTTGTGTTGTGATAACAATGCAAAATGGAAAAGACTAGACCACCAAAAAAATATTATCATAAAAAGACATAGAGGATGTGAGGGACACAGAAGATAGAAGATGTATTTTTCCTTCTAATGCAATTTTATAAGATACAGCCTTGTTTAATTCTCATTTAGATCACAGGAGAAAGAAAGGAATGTATTGATTCAAATAAACAAGTGGAAAATCTGGGGATATTGGAATTGGGACTAATCTTTTGCTGGTACTCGAAGATTAGAGAGGTCCACACCGTTCTGAGAGGAAAGATAGAGTGCTGCAGAAATGCTCCAGTCATCCGCTGGGGAGCCGGAGATGTGGCACATGTACTCAGGCTTCACCTGTTCTGCAGAAAGTCAAAACAACTTTATCTTTCTCTCTCACTGGATCATTTCAGAAAGTGACAGGGAATCTAAGTGATATTACTCAGATGGCTGTTTTTAGATGTCTCAATTTCTGAAAGTCAGGATATGTCATTGTGATACATGCTTCTGCTCTCTGAATATTCCAGA